TTCCTCAGGCTTGTCTTTCCCAGGATTATCTATATGGAACATCTGGTGGGAGCATTGTATAGGGCTTGGAGTATTACGTGCAACTGGTGGAGTTTTGACATGAGGGTGTTAACATATGGGTTACAAGGGGGGGGTGCGGGGTGAGGAGGAAACATCTTGTAACTGTAGGGCAAAAGGTTGTATTTCTTAACATTAAGCTTCAGGCTTTTGGGCTGGGGTTTTCACTTACACAGTATCAGATGGGCAATGTGTATAAATGCTGCCTTTGGCAGGGCTATTCAATTGACTTAGGAAAGAAAAACAAAGAACTCAGAAGGAAATAACCCAACCAGTGATATTTCAAAGCAACTCCTGATACTTTGAACAAATAAAGGATAGCACATAACAGAAAGAAAATTTCAGATCATTGAGGGAACCAAACAGGCCAGGGCTAAGGAGAAGGGAATGTGAAATCCAGCCCCACCTATAACAGGAGAGAGGGACAAAGTGGCAAAGGATGAGGAAACCTCAGAAGACCAAGTGTCTGGGAGTGAAGGGAGGGTGCACAGAACCACTCAGAAACCCAGAGAAAACTTCCTGGAGGGAATCGGATTACAAAGGAGGTGTGACAGTTTAGAAAGCTTGCCAAGTCCTCAAGGACACAAATAATAATAAATTCTAGAGAGGACAAGGAGAAGCAGCACTTTTACGCTGTGGTGAGATTGGGGTGGAAATTGGTGTGGAAGTTCCTTAAAAGACTAGGCATGGAACACCATATGACCCAGCTACACCACTCCTTATGATACATGCACACCCATGTTTACAGTAACACAATTCACAATAGCCAAACTATGAAATCAGCCTAAATGTCCATCAATGGATAAACGGACAAAGAAAATGTGGCATATATACACAATGAAGTTTTTTTTATTAACTTATTTTTAGTTGTAGATGGGAGGAGGAGGGAGACACTTTATTTTATTTTTATGTGGTGCTAAGAATGGAACCCAGTGCCTCACACATGCTAGGCAATCGCTTTACCTCTGAACCACAACCCCCAGCCACACAATGGAGTTTTATTCAGCCATAAAGAAGAATAAAATTCTATCATTTGCAGGAAAATGGATGGAACTTGAGAACATTATGTTAAGTAAAATAAGCCAAACTAGGGAGGTCAAGGGTTGTATGTTTTCTCTCCTAGTGGAAGCTACAGAGGAGAAAGAAAAGAAAGGTGGTAGGAGTTGGGGGAGGGGATGAAGATCTCATGAAAATCAAAGGGAGATCAGTAGAGTAGAGGAAATAAAAGGGACAGGGGAGGGAGGAGAAAGGTTAGGAAAATGCTGAGGAGTGATATTGGCCAAATTATGGTTTTGTATTGTGAACGTACAAATAAGTAACAAATCCCACCATTATATACAACTATGATGTACCAATTAAAAAGGGACAAAATAATAATAAAATAAAATGGGGGTGGGACAGCTTTCCAAGAAGAGGTCAAAAGATTGCTCCTGCAGGCATAGTGCCACACACCTGTAATCCCAGCGGCTCTGGAGGCTGATACAGGAGGATCTCAAGTTCAAAGCCAGTCTCAGCAATGGTGAGGTACTAAGCAACTCAGTAAGACCCCGTCTCTAATAAAATACAAAATAGGACTGGGACTGTGGCTCAGTGGTACAGCACTTGCCTAGCATGCCTCAGTGAGGCATGAGGTTCGATCCTCAGCACCACATAAAAATAAACAAATAAAATAAAGGCATCCTGTCCATCTACAACTACAGAAAAAAAATTTAAATACAAAATAGGGCTGGGGATGAGGCTCAGTGGCCGAGTGCCCTGGGTTCAATCCCTGGTAAAACCCCCCCAGCCAGAAAAAAAGAATGCTCCTAACCAGTTGGGTGTGAGATTGCTGACAGGGGAGGGACACAAGGGTCTCATGAGGCAAGTAATATGAAAGTAGACCATGGGCTTGACTGGGCACACCAAGAGGATAGAGGGGTCCAGAAAACCAAATGTGGGTCACTCCCTACCCACCCAACAAAGTGCCACCAACAAAGATTCTCCTGCAGGTGGAATCAACTTCAAGTGCAATCAGAGGATGCCCCAAGCCAAGAGAGTTTCGTTGCCACAAATTACCTCCTTATTCAATAATTCCTTGGACATTTTAGAATAATATGTCATTTTATATTTGGGGAACCCTCTGCAAAGAGCCCATCAGTCCAGAGTTTCATGGAAAGACCTGGTTACCGTTTAATTGGCTTCCTCTGTATCGAGTATATTTTGTTTTATACATAAAAATTATCTTGAGAACGACTGGCAAGGAGATTAAGAGCTACTGACATATAGAAATGGGGCAGCCGGAGAACAAAGGCCGTGAGGAAAAAGACGTCATGGAATATTCCTCATTCACTGGGTGGTGGGGGACATTCACTGCACTGAGGAAATCTTAGAAATCTGATTGCAATTTCCCCATCTACCCAACCCCTCAATCATCTTCATAAGCTTTCTTTTTTCCCACCAGCATGGTCTCAGTGACCCTCAAATATGTCTGTTGCCGCTCTTTAAGTCTTTGCCCATTTACCCATTGATCTATTGGTGTGTATATTGATTACCTTCTTTCTACCAAGCACAAGGGACAGAGAAAAGAATTTGACAGACACTGTCCCTGTCCTAATGACGTGTGCCCCCTCTCTGCCAACAGAAACTCTACCTCTGTCCAATGTCCTGCTCACCCAGGACACCCCCCAGGAGGTCTTTCCCAGAGCCACTCCAGATCACATGTCTAGATCACATTTTGTTATTAGATTTATTAGATTTGGGTACTTAGGTTACAAAACCTATTTTTTGTTATTATACTTTAATAAGTAGGAATTTGTAGAGTTTTTCATCTGTTTCGTACATGCAACTGCAAAAGACATATTATCTCTGCACTGTCATAGAAAAGGCCTGATTTTCAGACTGTAGTTTGAATAGATAATTATAGATAGATAGATAGATAGATAGATAGATAGATAGATAGATAGAAAGAAGCTGGGGCAATCTACCACTAAGCCAAAATCCCAGATCTTTTTAGTTTTTATTTTGAGATAGGTTCTTGCTAAATTGCTTACAGTCTTGCTAAGTTGCTGAGGCTGCCCTCAAACTTGTAATCCTCCTGCCTCAGCCTCCCAAGTTGCTGGATTAAAGGCATGTGCTAACGCACGCGGCTAATAATTTCAGTTTTGGGGTTTATTCTTTTACTCTGTTTCCTGCCACTTTATGGCTCAAACTCCCATCCTTCACTCCTTGGATTCCTCATGTCCTTCATACTGTCCTATAGTATCACCCCCCAGGGAGTTCAAGTGTTGCCTTCAATGACAGTTGCTCCTGTCCACCACAAGAGAGAACTCAGTCCACAGTTTTAGCCACCACTGCATACTAGGCCAGCAAAACTTTCCCAAATCTTTCATTTTTTTCACTTCCTTCAGCCCCAGTATGGCCCCTATAACCAATCTCAGATTCCCAGTCCTCCAGCTGCCTGAGAGACTGTGGCCTGAAAATAATCCTGGCACAAATTTCTGTATCTGTCAGGATTAACCGTTGCTAGAAACAGAACTGAGTTCTGACTTTAAGCAGAATATTTGTAGGTTGATTAGCGTTCAGAGTCCACAGAAGGGCTGGAGAACCCAGGCTCAGAATTAAGCAGAAGCAACACAGTCAAAATCACTTCACGAATGCACGGCAGCTGCCAGCAGGGGGCGGCAGATGCCACAGTTTTGACCGCCAGCACCGTCAAGCACTGGATGTTGGCTCCACCTCAGCCACCACTGCTGGGGAGCTCACAGGAGCTGGGTCACTGTCGAGACCCATTAGGAAGGGATGTCCACTGTGCCCGCTTCGGTTCCCTGACTCCTGACTCAACGGGCAGGACAGGAACAAGTGCTTGCTGAGCCTAAGCCATGTGCACGCCTATTTCTGGCTGTTTCTGCTTCCATGATGGAAGGTCGGGATGTCCCAGGCATGGAAAGGGAAAGAGGTGGATATGTCCTCAAGATGAAGCTCTGGTTGGGAGCAGTGTGCGAGAGAATAATGGTTGTCCCCTTGTGGTGCCAAATCAGGCCAAGTTTGCATCACCCCCGCCGCCACCCAGTCCCCACACAGCATGCCAAAAATGCGAACGAGTTTTGCAAACAGAGTTTATTCACAAGCAACTGAGTGCGGAGGGCGAACCCCACATATCAAATCTGCCTCCTGTCAGGTAGGATTTGGGGATATCTATGGAGTAAGAAAGTAGGATGTTTTAGGTGCAAAGAAAGATTTTTGGAGGTGAAGCAATCAGGGTCTGCACATGCGCAGTCAAATGTTTATCGCTCTTCACGGGACTAGTGTTACCAAAATGACAACACATGATTCCAAGGTGGAGTTTTCAGCCTTCTGCCATCAAAAGGTCACGCATCAAACACTTGTGCAAACCCAACTGAAAAGTCAGTGGCTTTCCAAGTCCCTGTAAAATAACCTAATCTATGTTACCATCATGACCCACATGTCAGAGGTGTCAACTATAGCAAACCTGGTAAGAGATGAATAATATATTGCTCAGCTAGTGACTTCCAAAATTAGTGGTTTTTAAAGTCAACTAAAAGCAGGTGACACTAGAGGGTCAGTTTAGGTGTCCCCTTGGTTTCACTAGTTGGGATTTACCCAGGCTCTGACACATAAAGAATTTTTCCAGAGGAGAGGGGTGAAGTATGGTCCCACAACACCCCAATCCCCCCAATGACCCCAGGGCAGTTGTGTCACCATAGACACACATCCCAGACGTCTGCCACTCTTCACCCACACCTCTAGCCCACCCATTCTTTCACCCAAGGAATTCAGAGTCCTGAGATCAGCTCTCTCCACTCTGTTTGCAGAGCCTGTCTATAGACCTCCTGACCACACTGCCAAGCCGGTTCATGAATCCTTTTTTCACATTGTTTGGGGAGGAACCCATCCTGGCTCCCTCATTGGCCTGTGAATTCACCTCCCCTGGGCATGGTGCCAGGACCCAAGGAAAGAGCTGTTTCCTGTCCAGAACCTTCCAGCCAGACACGATGGTAACAATGGTACCTGTACTGCTGTCTCTGCCGCTCCTTCTGGGTCATGCAGTCCCCCAGGAGACCCAAGCTGGTGAGTGGGGAAAGCAAGGGATAGGTGCTGGAGAAGAATGGTGGGAAGGCAAAGAACAAGACAGAATGGCAGGGAGAAGGACCCCCTGTGGCTGGGATTCCCAGGCACGTCATAGTCATGGGTGTTCAAGACCATCAACTAACTTAGCTCACACTTCTAGAAGCATTCAAGGGGCCTCTGGACTTCTGCTCATTAAGACTGTAAAGATTTTGAATCTAAAACCCAAGTGAAAAAAACTAAGACATAGAAAAGGCAAAGTGACTTTCCTGGGATTAAATGGCAGAATGAGGCAGAAACCCACACAGAGAGAGCTGCTTCTAATCTTGTTCCTTCCTTCCTTCCAGTGGATAGGCACACCTGCCTGACTCAAAGAGAGAGGAGAGAGAGAGAGAGAGAGAGAGAGAGAGAGAGAGAGAGAGAGAGAGAGAGAGACGGGGGGGGTGGCTCCCCAGGGGCAAGCAAGAAGGCAGTTAGCTAAAGGAAACCCAGGTCCTCACCCAACCATGAACCTAGAAGGCAAGGGGCTGGGATGGAGGACAGGTGGGGACACTCAGGGAAATCCAGAGTCAATGCTACAACAGGGAATGAGGCTATGCATGACATCAAGGGTCCAGGATGAAGAGAGATGAGCTATGGGCTTTTAACCTGTGCAAGTTTAAAATTCCTTGCAGTCACAAATTGTCAAATAGTTTTTTTTATGTTTGTTTTATAACAATCATGTTTAGAATGTTAAGCACATTCTATACCAAAATCCAGATTAGTCAAAGAGACACAATAGAATGGAGGGTTGGATGGGTAATAGATAAATGACAGATACATAGATAGATAGATAGATTTTTTTAATGGGGGAAAGAATTTTATTTTAAAGAATAGGGTACACAGTTGTAGGGTCTGGCTTATCCTAAAATCTGCAGAACAGGCCAGCAGGTTGGGGACTCAGGAAAGAGTTAACATTGTAGTCTTGAATCCAAACATAGTCCAGAGACTAGATTCTTTCTTCTTTGGTGGGGAGGGAGGAGTCAGTCTTTTCTCTTGAGGCCTTCAACCAGTTGGATGAGACCTT